TTCATTTACCAAATTAAACAGTATACTATAAAAAAAGTTTAAAACTTAAAACTTTGGCTTTTATATAGGTAACTGTGATTTTAAAACAAAAATCACAGAAGGTAAGTTTTAATAAAAATGCATCACATGAAAACAAAAAAAAGATGATATGTGATATTTTAAAAAAAAGTTTTAAGATCCATAACGTTTTATTAAACATTTTCATAGTTTTCAAATCCAATTTACCAATCACTTCCTAATACAATTAAAAAAGTTGTGTTAGACAAAATAACTCTCCTAACCAAGATTTTTGAAAAAAAATCTTACTCCACCACAAATTGTAAATCTAGAGAAAATATTCATTTTACCAATGAATCAAAGTGAAAGATAAATATCAAAGCAAATCGACAAATAAAGTGAGATACAAATACAATCAAAACAATAATGAGGTAATTACAAAAATGCCACTTTTTGTGTGCACATTTACAAAAATGTCAGTTAGGGATGTCCATTTACAAAAATGTCAAAATGTTTTGAACCATACGCTATTTTTTTTTTATCTTTACCAAAAAATTTTGTTTTAATCAGGCATCACGTGAACTCTACCCTCCAATGTAGGTTACAACTCACACATGCAAATATTTTAGTTTTCAATTATGTAAGCTAATCCTTTGTTATGTATTTTAATTTTAGGGAAGTATGTGATAAATATGCAAGACACGCTGAAAAATTAGCGTTCAAGCTTTTAGAACTCATCTCATTAAGCTTAGGTTTACCAATGCAAAATATGAAATAATTATTAAAATGAAAGTGGTTAACAAACACATTCGGAAAGTAAAAATAGTACTTTTGTGTTAAAAGTAAAAGTGTAGGAAAGTAAAAACTCTCTTCTCCTTTGGTCAGATATCTCTAGCCATAACAAAACATAAATTGAATAGTCTCTCGGTCTCTTATATCCTTTTTCATATACATACACTTTCTTTTCTTTTCTTTCTTGAGAAAAATACACTTTTTATTATAAAGGTCATATACATACATAATAAACTTGTGTAAACCCACTTGGTA